TGGTAGCCAAACTGTTTTCCCTGGCTTCGTTCGCTGATAGGTGATGGCCATGAGTTGCTATTTATTGCGAGCGTTTCTGCCACCGTCCATGGCGAGAATTGGTCATATTACTCTCTACTTAGGCAATGTGTTGTTGGAATGCGGTTCAGCGTCAACTATTGACGTGTGTTTTGAATGACAAGCGATGATAAGGGTCTGTTGGTGTTGACAGAATGTTTACTGGTCCAGCACCGCCTTGGTGACTATAAATCAGCCACCTATTACTCTATAATGCTTACCCTTGGCGGCTATTATGTTCTTCTACCTTACTCTTCTATAAAACACTTGATCGATCACTTGTGCACAGCGGAAAAAATTGAGTAGAGCGGTCAGCTTGCTGCGCATATCGTTCGTAACATAGGTACCCTAGATGCTCTGAGTGTGGATGCTAAATCCTTGCGGTACCGCACATGAACCCATACTAATTTCTAGCTAATTGCTTTGACCGCCACGTCGAATCAATGGTGCGGATTCCGCGCATGCGATCCCGCTTGCAAAGCCGCTTTCTCCTTCCATGTGGCAGTATTGGACTGACCACCCACACTCAAGGGTTCCGCAACCGTGTGCCAGACATGCGCAGTGCGTCCACTGCAAAAGTTAATCTTCAAATATTACGCAGGATGCGTGACGATTTTGCCCTATTTTTTCATCTTGTATAGTCGTCATCCCTGCAAATCAGAGGACATATGAGGGGGAGAGGGGCATGGAATGGAGCGCAGACAAGGGGATCTTCTCTCCGTGCCATCGTGAACCTCGACGATTGGCGGAAAAAGCTACCCGGGATTCCGATTCACGCCCCTTAACACGCCCTCTCGTTTAGAGGTAGAATAGTCGCATGTATGTCAACTACATTTTAAAATCAGGAAATTACTTTGGTGCCCAGACTACATATCGCTCCAAGGAGCCACCTCGTCATTATTAAGAGTCGTACCTGGTCTGGAGAGGAACAGGGTCTCACTGGTCTCGATCGGGATGTTTTTAAGCCGCGACAATTTTTCTTAAACTGTTCGTTTTTTCGAATTTCAGGTTTCATGTGTGCTATATCCCTCCCCACTTTGAAAACAATGGAAAAATCTCTGGAAAACTGGGAAAAGAGCTAGGAATTTGAGAAAATAGGAAGATGGCAGGTACGAAAGGCGGGGATGGAGTGGGGTCGTGGGGGGCGGGCGTTGAAGCGTTTGGGGGGGTCGCATTTACACTTCATCCCACACATCGCGATATAACATAGTTGACATTTTCATTTATAAATATTAGACATAACATCAGCTGGCCCGCCAGGGAGGGCTATCTAAATAATTAGTCACAATCACAAGTTTTGATAAGATATGCATCTGTGACCTAATGCCTATCATTCCTCCAATGTTTGTTATACAGCAAGCTATTTAGGCCATTCTTCCGGAACGCTCACCATGGCTCAGTAGCCCTTATCATGTCCTTTGTGTTCCACTTATTACTATGTAATCAAACTTTAGTATGCCCAAGGAGAAAGGCTGCTTTGGTTATCTGTTGCCAACGCAATCTTGTCTGATCTTTTCATCTTGATTAACTCCCTTCAAGCCTGGTTTTGAATTTGCGCCTGGTTATCCATTTCGAAGATGCAACTGAGCTGCCGTAGAAAGATATCGCAATAACTCCTGGGATTAGTTAGAGCATATCAGAGCGTCAATGGTACCGTACCCGCTTAGTGATCTCTGCCTATTCCCAAGTAAACGTTCGGTTACGTGGGAGCAAGTAATCACCATCTGTACACGGGTGCGTTTCCATCCACTCTACCCCCTCCCCCCTGGTAAAAGATCGGTCGTAATTGCAGGCTTAGTGGCGCACATGACAGCGTTCTTGAGTATTATTGCTCCATCTCGTAGTACTCGAATTCTTCAAGCTTCAGTTTGTTAGTTGGGAGTCATTAGGCGCCAAATCAAATAGCGAATCTTTTTTGGTTGACAAAACGAAGATTTTTCATAAGGTCATTCCGCATGTCTACACTGAAGCATGCACTTATAGGCCTCATCATTGCGGATCTCGGTGGGGGTGTCAGCCCAGAAGGAGTGCGCACACTGTTGAAGCCGTTCTCAGCCTTTTTGTTGATACGCGTATGCGACAAAAAGTGGTAGAAAACGAGTAAACACGTAGATGCAATACGAGTAATGCTTTTGCCTGCTTTGAAAACTGGTGGCAAGAAACGACGTCTGCCAAACCGCGGGGCAAACGCAGCCGGCACGCTACGCCCCACCGGTCCGTCAATGATGAGAGACTGTACGCCCCATTCATCTTCTGGCTGCAGAGTATGCGCATAAGAGTCTTATTCCAGATCTGGTAGCAGTTAATGAAGCTCCAAATAAATGCTCATAATCGAATCGCTTTGATGGACTTCTTAAAATTCGCTCAAATATTTCAATAAAGTTGAGAAATTTTTGACATGTTTATTTTTATTCAAGTCATGGAAAGGTGTCGTCGTTCTTGTCGCCGTGATTATAGCCGCAGTTATTGGCAGTGGTGTGCTCAAGAAGAAAGCCGCTGTGTGACATGTGCGAGAGTCTAATCAAAAAAGTTGATGATGTACTGAGGCAAGGAGGAGACGTTGAAAAGGTATCGCTTGAAAACACGACTGAGGATTGCTAAAATACTAGTTGTTGATAGATATTACAACTATTTATATCTTATACAGAAAATGTGGGAGGCTAACATGAGGCCTTGAATCGTGGAATGTTCTCTGGCAGGACCCGATTCTTAAAGGTCTGGTCCGCGATAGGGAGCGTACGTACTGGTGTTGAAAAGAAGCCGCGAAAGGGCTCCGTCTCAAGAGAAAATGCGCAGAAAAGAGCAACGGAAACTCTTTCTATTAGGATCCCGCCTCAAGCAATCAGGTCAGGGCAAAAGAGCACCACATCTTGGGGCGAACCCACTCGGTTCTGTGATCGCTACGTCCCCACGAGCGGCAGTAGAGCTTCTATTTCATACTCGTCCGGCGGCATCGTTCTTCGCTAAAAGGTGGACCTCGAAGCCCGAGTCTGGAGGAGGGGGTCACTGGGAAAAGGAGTTGTCACTGATGCGATTCCGCGTATTAGCGCCAATACTTCACAACTTTAGGTCGAGATAATGGGGCAAGGTTGTCCTTTTCGAAGCATAGTACCCTTCCCATGCAATCTCTTGCATTTTCATAAGTCATCGCAGACCCTCCCACTAACTGCTGCTTGGTCTGCCGAGCAATCCTGCTAACCACGCAGTTAGATCTGCGAAATCAGCTTCCCATGTTGTTCATACTCGTAACGCCATCAGTTCACGTTTTGCAACCTTAAACGGTAACTGAGGACCGGAGGCGGGGTAATGATAATTGGCCCGCTTATACGTGCGTAGTCTGGAGCTCAAATCTCGGTCGGCTCTCGATCAGGCACGGCCAACCAAGCCATCTGCCCTTCGGGGACGATCGAATGGTACTACTTTGTCTGGCAGGAAGGCAACACTGTTTTGTGCACCACCTGATCATTGATTCTTATTAAAAAGACTGTCCTCCGTCATTTCACGGAGCTATCTTCATGATGTCTTAGAAATAGTAACTTTCACAGGATTGCCTCCTGATGTAGTAGAAGCGGGCACCAAATTGTTTCAGGCTGTGGACCAGTTCTGCAAAGAAGATGTTCCGGAATTCCTAGTTGAGTACTGCGAAAAAATCATTTCCAAAAATCTCAAGTACATCATCGAAAAACTGAAGGTATGTTTGAGACTCAGTTAGTTTCGTAAACAATCTTAAACCTTAACTGAGGAGTCTATCTCGGTGAGAAGGAGCAAAACGGTATGAGGTTCAAGTACCTATTATTTTCAGTATCTCACCTGTGCTTGACGAAATTGACAAGAATGATGTAGTCCAAAGTGATTGCTGCTTATAAACCATCCCATTACTGAAGCATAAAACCTCTGCATTGTCATTGTCAGCGAAGCGGTATTCTGCCTCCTCGGGCTCGCTCGCCTACGTGGCGTCATTCTATGCTTATAGCATCTATCAGCGAAAAAATCAGTGTAAAAACTGAGTCCTTGACAATAAATAAACCGGACTCATGACAAAATAGCGTCTGGCTTTTGGGCGGTACAACTAGGACTCAGAACTGCCACTTATGCGGCACACAGCGCCTTCATTAGTTAGTGTGGAGCCGCGATAGTGGAATAGTCCTAGAGACTGAGGACTCAGACTAATGTACAAGGAAGGACGCCAACGAGTTGCCGTAGCGAGGGGCCTGTCTTTGGAACACTTTCCACGCAGGCTGTAAGGTAGGAGTCAGGCCTACTACTGCGACTGAAATCATTCATGTATCCCTACTCTCCGATGAGGTAATGGGAAAGGGCGCTGACAGCAAAGGGGAATTGACGCCCACCATTTCTTAGGTCAAGTTCTTTTTGTGCACTGTTTACCCTTAATGCTCTGTAATCTATGTCTGCCGGACGCGTGGGGTCGTAATCATGCTAGGAAGGATATTTCCGGCGCTGCGGACAGCCCCTTTTCGAGCCAGCTGCTTATTCACCTACTCCACTTCAATACGTGCGAAGAAGGGGCTAGCGCTGCCCTCCGTGTCATACGCTCTAGCGGCCAGCCATGACATAAGGTCGCGCGTACATATGAGTTGAGGTTATCAGCGGCCAGAGGACAGCAATGTTGCCTAACTAACCATTTCCTGTAGGTTGTTCCTCAGCAGAGGGAGTGTAGAAATCAGTAAAGGGCACATTGAACCTACACAGCTAATCCCTGGCAACGGTTCGACGTGAGGGCGTTGGCAGAGGAAACCGATCGGCTTTTCAATCACCAGTATTGAACTCCTTTCACTGAATCAGATCATATGAGGATGACTGCTGCCTACCGGATTTGCAACGTTGAATGTGTAATAGCAATGTGAAACTCCAAAAGTTTATTCCAAAAAACTCAAAAGACAGCAAAAGTCTCAAAAGTTTTTAAAATATCTTAACTTGCGATATTTCGGTGCGTAGCACCTTCGTCAGGCCTGAAAATATTTAGCTTGTTTTGTTGGTTATACCTTCTACAAAGTGCAACCCGCACGACGCTCTTCAACCCCCTCCCCAAGCCATCTACCAGTTGTTCCCGAAATAAATAAATCAACCACCCCCACCATGCCCCTTTAAATAGTGGATAGTTACTTGTGACGCGCATCACATGATCGCTTTGCAAGATGTTCACGTAGCTCCAGGCTATTGATTCTGGTGATACCTCTTAATCTAGAGCTCGCTAAATAATAGGAAATAAACTAAAAGCTCCCGGAAATTAATAACGGCCTATCACCAGAAATGAACGATAGCGGAGACTATCTGCCCATGACTATCATGCAAGTGCATCATGTGATCGCGTCTGAAGTATCCCCACTATTTAAGTAGCTTATTGATTCGTGGTGGTTGCGTTTATTTATTTTAGGGACAACTCGTAAACCGCTTGGTGGAGGCGGCAGTCCTTGCGGGTTGCATTCCTAGTAAAAGTAGAGCCAACTCAATAACAATGCTAAATATTTTTAGGCCTGTCGAAGATGTAGGCGCCATCCGAAATATCGCCAACTAGATATTTTTGAAAAACCTTCGACGTTTCGCTGTCTTTTCTAATGTACAAAAAAAAAAATAAAAAAAAAATATCTAACAAAAAAAGCAGTGTTCATTAGAATAAAATTTTGAAGTTTTCGACATTGCTTGTTACACACTCGGATATAGAAATACAGGACTTCGGACAGCACCAATACTCCGGTGCAATTGAAAGCCTGTCCGTCGGGACTATTGTCTCCTGGCGCGTTCAATGTATCCTCTCAATTATATCTTGACAAACAAAAGGAAATCGTATAGGAGTTCTTGGTTATAGCAGTTCTCGATATAGCTGAAATTCGTATTTACTTCAGTGACCATCACGATCCACCAGAGAAGATCTGCATAAGAACAAGTGAAGTCAACAAGCTTCTTATTATATTTGTATGTTCACGTTCCGGATGTTTGAAGTAAATGCATGACAGTTCCAATGATTTGTTATTTATTTTGGAAAAATCTTCAAAATTCGCACATACAAACAGAGGCACAGGTTGATACAGAGACGATAAGCTGATCACACATCCCCTTGGTTATTCTTCAATGGAAATGGAATTAGTGTATGATATGTGATGCCCGTCAATTTAACAAGTGTAAGGACCAGAGACGTCATTGTACTTGGATGCTAACATTGGTTGAACTTGACCACACAGATAATCCATATCCGAAGGCAGCAAGAGGCGTGGCTGCAAGAGTGGAGAAGTCTAGAGGCAGACACGCATGTATACACAGCAATCCCAGGAACTCTTGCTGCCCTCAGATATTGACGAAATACATGTTCTTTTGTCCTGGAGAGGAGTTCGTGAAGAAGTTATTTAGTATAGCTGCAAGAGCGGACAGAATTTAGTTAAGAGATCATAAGGGTTTCTTTCTCGAAAAGTGCGTAGATTTTTCTGCAAGGGCACCAGGCAGATTTTGATGATTCAATTGAACGCAAGTTTTGAAGAGTAGACAGGAAGCGGTGACAACTCGTAACCTGCCAGTATTCAAAGTTTGGTTCAAAAAAAGTTTGCCGTAAGATGGCTACATTGGGAAACTACTGTTCCTCCTGACAGGTGCCATTGATTTTTGGATAAAGTATGTCATAAGGATGTTGACAGCACTGGGTGTTGGTGTTGTACGATTCAGCCCTCGTTTCACCGTCGATCCACAAGTAGCAGCAAGCAAGCCCGACATCTTTCGGGATAGCTCCATTGCAGCAGAAATGAGTCTGTGCCATATACTCGACGAAAGTACCATTGTTGAGTTTGCAGCATGAATCTGCATGGTCCTTCTCTGATATCTGGAATGAAAATCATTTGTAATGTTTCAATTTGCTTTTCTTTCGTTTGCTTCCGACCCCTCCGGCTGAGCCATACCTTCTACTTTTGAAGGGATATGGTGGAAGTGTCTTTACCTAAAGTATGGCTTTCACGGGACAACAGTCTATTCTATTAGACTGGTGCTCTGCCATTGTTCTCCTTCCTAACCCTACTAGGACCTCATCCTTTATAATCTCTGTGAGACTTCAGCCGGCTGAGGTGGAGCTGCACCAAAAATCTTCATAGACTTTCTTCGATATAATATACGGAGGCTTTTTCATCTTAAGATGTACCCATAATACCTAGACATAACGTCTTTGCCTGTGTGACTGCGTGCTCTCTCGCCCTTCCACCCGAAAATCACCCGGTTCTGAGCGTTTCCGACAGATTTGTCTGCTTTTCCTTTCTGGTGAGTAAAGAAATCTCTACAAAATGATATTCGAATCCCACTACAGGCCAACCCGAAGTCAAGGGGCCCTGAACGAGGAAGATATCGTCAGTCCCTAAGTGTAGCTCATCGCTTACCCGATCGCCACAGCACAGCTGCTGCAAGCCACCATCGTACGCCATTGTACCGCAACATTTGTCCGTTGGCGCGATGGTTCTGAAATTAATGTTCGTCATGGACGGCTATGATTGGGAAACACAATCAGAGAAATGAATCCAACACGTTCATGGACTAGAAAAGATGACCGCAAAGGGGCACTGTGGGTTGACATGGCCAAGTTCCCATGCAGCAGTTGATCATTTGGTAGAAATGAAATCATTGCATTCTCTGTCAAAACTACGAAGCTAAACAGTGATCCTTCAACTGTGTCACGAGGAATGATGGAGACATGTGTGTCGCTCCTCGAGAGTGTTCCTATCAGTGGAGAATTTCTACTGGAGATAATCTGGACCTCTCAAAAGCTTGGCATGGACAGAAGTGGTGGTTCGTGACTTGGATTTGATCCCACATCCTTCAGTTCAGATCCACCAGAGATTCAAGGCAGAGCCATCACTTCATTGCCTGCGAACTGGGTGCTCTCTCGCTCTTGCGTCTAGTGCACCACTTCTTTACCAGCCACGTGCTTCTTCAATGCTGAAGGTAACCTGGGTCTTATTTGTCATTTGTCATCTGTGTGTGTTTGGCAATTTCCGGGTTTACCTGCTTTTCCTTTGCCGGTGAGTCGATGAACACAGAAAGACATTCAAATCACACTATAATTGATGTAAGTGTGGAGTAGCAAGGCGGGTTCTCATAGTTCAATATTCTATTGCATTGTGAAGAGATTCCCCGCAAGAGACCAGGAGAGGACCATAAGGACGGTTTCAAGTTCAAAACATAATCGGCAAAAAAGACACTACGCGTAATGGTGAAAGAGATTAAAAGTGAAAATAAGTTCCATCTGGAAATCAAACCAGGCTATATTACCTCGACAGGTTGCCATCGCAGCACAAGTATGTTGAATCTGAAGCTGAATAGATGGCAGTGCCACAGCATTCGCCATTAATATCGTGCACCTGAACATGTTTTGATGTAAAAAGGGAAACCAGACTATCGATGCTTCCGCTGATTTCAGTTTGCGAGTCCTTCGCCGAGAGCCTATAGTAATGACTTCCTGTGGGAACGCCATTTACAGGTTACAGTGCTGCTGCTTGTTCTGGAGTGGGCAAACTCTGGTTAGCTCCTTCCTTCCAGCAACATTTATTACAGACATAAATCCATTCCTTCTCAGTTGATATAGCACACGGATGACTAATTTTTAACAAACTTTGATTGATTGGTTTTGCACAGCCAATGAATCGTAGCCATATTTTCAGACAAACTTTGATTGATTGGTTCTGCAGAGCCAATTGATGGCTCGCATTATTCTAAAAGGCCACTTCCGCAATAAACTAAGGCTATATCCTCTTAAATCTGTCGGATTACCCGTTAGGCGATTGTAGAGGTTGCACTGCATCCAAAGCTTGTAAAACGCACGCAATCATGTAAACTTAGATTTTTAGGCCCTATGCGTCCCCTACCTTGTCCGTGTCTGTCATTAACTTGTGATCCCCTGTTTTCTGGGTTCTCTCCGCGCTTATTTGCGCGCATCCCTTATGGATTATCACGCGTTAATTTCTTTGGCCCTCCTGTGTCGGATGACATATGACCAGTGCCAAGGAGCCCCAATGGTAATTACTGAAGACGTGTTCTGCGTGGGCAAGCGAAGGTGGCGTGAAGGGGAAGTGCCTTACACGGCGGCAGGTGTACATCAAAGAGATCGTTTACGTTGTGCGACATTGAAAGAATAGCGACAGCGCAAAGCGGAACGCGGAATAATAGGGATTTGAGCGTAGTATTTATTATTGTTCCTTGCAGACCATTTTGCCATTGCGCCTGGTGCTGTTGTTAACCTTTCTTTGTATTCTCATTTCATGATTCGTTACGAAGGCGGGTTTACGTCCATTACAGCTGTCTTCGGCTCCCGGACCCGCTGCCAATATAGTTTCCCGCACACACACCCCTGTCTCTGCATAGTCTTTCAATTTGATTCCGCCGATATCTAAGCCTTGAAGTTTTCATGTCGCATTCAAGGTAGGAAACCGGGAAAGTCGGGGACAGCATACCTGATCACGTCCGTTTGCATAAAGCTGCGTGACAGTGTTGAATGGAGTCTTAGATTCACGCAAGCCACGTCCGCCAGATCGTCGACGGTCTCGTACGTTTTGCACGCTCCAGCACCACCACCGCAGCAGGCAGTAATCACTGAAGTTGAACGTGAAGGTGCTAGCAGCACTTTTAAAAAACATTAGGCTTTGGAGGACATCAAGGTCGCAGGTAGACTAGGAAAGGGTTTTTGGGTAGGTTCTATATGTCATGCAGATGTAAATATTGTAGAGGTACACTCAGTTGGTGTATCACAATTCCAGGTGTTTCCCTGTAGTTGTCCAGGTGGTTCTCAGTTGTGGTCGAGAAACATAGAATAAGAGTGCCGAATTATAAGTTAGATATCTGAGCAAGGGGTTATGGCAAGAGATCGTATTCGCTTGTGCAGTGGGCGTCGCGGTGCGACATTCGCCTGCTAATGAGCGGTGTTGTCGCAGAAAGACAATGTACGGACGTAAATTGACATAGTTTACAACCAATTTCCTTGCCTTAAATGACCGATGTTCCATTGAATTGAGAAGTGTACAACTGAGGAATGTCTGGGCCATTGCGCGCGGAGAGAAGCGAGTTCGACACTTTTGCCCGGATCTCTCCCTATAACAAGTTCCCAAGCTTCGAGTTAATTGTTATTTGCTTTCTAGCAATCGTTTAGAAATTTCTGAGTGGATCATCTGCTGGCCTATGCAATAACTTCCGCCGCGGACATAAGGAAGTCACTCCAAAAAACCTTTGAGTCATAATGATTTAGTGGTTTTTCGAATCTTCATCTCTGCTACTATACACCTTTACTTCTTTTATCGAAATGATTCGCAGATGCCAAATATTTCTGTGTTGCAAACTGAACTGGACTGAGTTACAGTCTCATCATTGCGGACGGTGGGTGTTGTGGCAGTGCGGGTAGCGTTTGTGCGGTTCGCAGAATCGTTCCTGAAGTGTTTGAGAGGGCAAGTGATCATTTAATGTATTATTCTTCGTATAATCGTTTTCTACCGCTTTTTGGGCATAGCGTGTGCAAACTAAAAAGGCTGAGAACGGCCTTCCAACAATGTTTGCGCGCGCTTTGCTGACGCCTCACGGTTCTGCAATGATTGAGGACTGTACGTGATTCGAACAAATGGTGCCTGCTCACTGGAGATGCCGGGATATCAATAATCACTAATCTTGTCGGCCTAACCAAGCTTTCATATCGGGCAGAACAAACTGATTCGGAACTGTCGGAGGATGTGAAGCGATGAAGCTACTGATCTTTTTTGGGAACCTCTGCATCACTCTGTTGGCCATTGTTCGTCATCAAAAGCATAATTCGGAATGGTATCGGAAATAGCGTGCCGTGTACCAAAGAAGAACAATGCTGCGAACTTTATCATTACAGAGATAAACGTCTTTCTTCATCCAGAAGGTGTAACATACATTGTGGAAGATGTTATTATGGTTCTATGCTGTTCCACTCGGTTGCAAGGATTGTTCGCATGCCACCCGCATTCACCTCGTTTATTTAAGTACACAGAGAGCGCTGTAGCGAGTCGCAGGTGAGTCTCTAGACTCGGAAGTGCAGCCGAGAGCTGCCGACGTTAAAAAAACACCGGCGCGCAATGTTATGTTCAACACATTACTATGGGATAATCCTTTTATTAGCAAGGATATCGTCACGGATAGAGTTGATTAGGCGCCCGATTGACTTTCCAAGGATTTTTGACACGGCATGAGATAAGAGGATATAAACGGCAACAGAAACTAGGCATTCAATACCATACATAGCGATAGTATGAAAAAGAACAACGAACAGGAGGTCCAGTCGTTGGCAACCATATTAAGTAGTCAGGTACGCTAACCAACGTAATATTAGGCTGCGTGAATAAGTTTTTTTTTTCCCCTGTTTTGATCCATCCGTATTTTCGTTTCGTGAATGGAGTTGGTATTTTCGTCGTTACGCGTGCGGAGACGCTGCTGTCTGATACCTTTTTATCACACTATATGCTCAGGGCACTTCATGCGTTGTTTGGGGATCCCTATGGAGGCCGGGGGGAGTGTATTGGCCGCCAGGACGAGGAGGGGGTCGTATTTTGGTTGGAAAAATTTTTGATGCAGTTGATTTTTTTCGCCTTCAATGGACATTGGTAAAGGCGAGGTGGAGGCGGTCGTACCTTACGTCGCGTTGTAGGGAAAGGTGGTTCTTTTGTTTGCATTCCTCGTGATGGCTTCTGTTTCATGCCTCTCCTCCTATGTCCCCCCACTCGACCGTCTCCGTTCCGGTGAGGAAGGACAGAGGCGAGAGTCTACCAACTCAAAAACAAAAGGGCGGGGCGCGGTGTACACTCAACCAAATCTCCTAAGCAATGATATGCCCTTCGTCACCATCCTGCATTTGGAGCGCCCACATGCCGCCACAGTACCATCTGAGAAACACGTTCAAGAGGGGCTAATCGCGATTGTGGGCATTGTTGGTTTTTCAAGTCCCAGGCCCAGTCGCTGCTGCAGCACGGTGGAAGTAATAGTGATTTGAGCGTATGGCTCCGAGTATCGTCGGATCCGTGCATGATGGGGTCTAGTGTGTTCAGGTGGTTCGCCGTACCTGAGATATTAAACGAAAACAGTAGGCGTGAACATATGACAACCTCATAGTCATTGGGTGTGTAAAGATTGTGCCTGCGACACCCATAAGGCGAGTTGTCACGGTGACAGACGATACATCGTATATAACTGAGCTTATGACTTGTGCCGCCCCAGCGTGGTATCATTCATTGTGATCCCCCCTCAGCGAAAGCGAGAGATTTGCCGGATTGTTCAAGTGGTTTAGAATACCTGATATCAGAAGTTCGGTTTTCCATTCCCATGTCACAATTTCGTCTAGGAGTGCCGTTCTACCTAGCGTCATGCGTAATGGAGTAACCTTAAATTTGTATGGGTCTACAAGGTCGGCGAGCCTGTTTTTTCGGCTAGTGACGGAAACATCACCGTTCTTGTGGATTTAGTGCTTGCAATAATTCATAGCGCACCTACGCGTGCATGCAATAAGTAAATAAATAAATAAATAGATTGCGCAACGGATAACTTGAGCGGGGGAAGAGTCCTGCAAAATGGTTGAATAAGAGATTCTTCTTCATAGACAAGAAGGTCAGGCCGAGAAGTATGGAAGATGCAAGGTTCTGTAGTATGAGAACTTACTTCAAATGTAAAAACAACTCGCTATGCCCTCCAAAGAATCTGTTCTAGTTCCAAAATATGGAATGCCTCATTGAAAGAAATGAATTTTCGCTCCGTAAATGCGGAGTAAACGCACACGTGCGATGTTTTTTTCCGGGCTATGCGAATATTTTGGCAATATCGCAACTAACCAAGTTGTCCGGTAATCCGAGGAGCTATGCTGAGTAGAATGATGAGACTAGTGAGCATGAATACGAGCAGGTCTAGCTGGCCGATCCATAGCCCGTGTAGTCAGCAACAGCTGTGAAAACATAAACCGCTTCGATCCGTAGCATGGCCTACACGGAACGAATTTTCGCACATGCAGGCTGGGTTTAATTCACGATTCATAGGTTATTTACTAGATAAGAACAACGGAAAACGATATGCCATGGCGGTAGTCCGCTAAATTTTTCATGTTTTCAATTTACCGTTTCCAGTGGTACCTTTTCAAATGACCTTGAAACGCCTCTGTTGCGGCATTTATCAATATTCTCAAATGATGAGGTGGCCCATGAACGGTCGCATTTTTAGGACATAAGATCTAGCTTCCATTGCTTGGTTGAAGCTTGAGCAGGAAGCTTCGGCTGAGAGTTTTCAAAGAATCGTGCAGAATAAAAGTAGGCAATTTGAAGTTATGACGATTTACCACTTCAGATGGCTTCGTTTTGTACAGCGATCATCACAGCTTTCAGAGCATTATCATTAAGGACAAACTGTATACTCATCCCCCGAAACGGTCTTTCCTGTTTCATCACTTCTTAGCAGTGGAATCAACCAAAAGAAAGGTAGTCATGCCCGGATGCAGTCTCCCGACTCTTCCTTTTCTATTCTCGAGGTTCAGCACTTCTGCTGATGCCAAGATGCCGCAGCCAAACACGCACTCAGCGACAGAGAAGAATCAGAAAGCAACACAAGCGAAGTATCACACGCGCACCGGGTATCATTGCCCTGACCCTGTTCCGCGTGCACTTTGGATATTAAAGCTGCACGCCAATGCAGTTTATGGACCAGCTCCTCTTACATGGCAGAAATCAGGATCCACGGAATGGAGTGAAAATTTTGTCTTCAAAGATATTATGTGCATGAGATAAGGAAGATCGACATTTCAGAACTACTCTGTAGGCACTTATCTTGTTCTCATTCACTGTACAGGGGCTGTAGAAATCTAGCGTTTTCTAAATCTCTGTCCTTAGACTGAGTAGAAGTTTTTCATTTAACGTCGATTGATCTCATCTCTGTATTGCGCCATTCATTTATATAACTCAGCACCAGATATGCTAGGAAGGTGCAACTTCTACGTAATGTTCACTCGTGCAGGAGAATGTGTTCCTAGGCTCTGAGGATGAGTCCAAAACCTTACTATTTTTCTTTTCACTACTCTTCAGCACTGAGTGATCCTTGTGCTTACGGCCAATTCCTTGCCTTTTCATAACCCCCCCCCCCTCCCCTCAGTGCGACTTCCCCAACAACGGTATGTCGTGATTCCAACGATGGGCACAGATCAGCACCAGTACGCCCTGCTAGTTTTGTCAGAAAGAGCCATTAGCGAGCATAACACATATCATTAGCGGCCATTTTTATTACACAAAAACCATCAATTCTATCCTTGTATTGAATGTAGTTAGCCAACTGGGACACAACAAAAATATTTCAAAACTTGACTCAGGGTGGGAAAGCCTCCTCATGTGAGTGCTTGCTAGGGGCAGTTTGGAAGGTGCTACCAGCAACACTGGAGAGCAAGAAGCGGCTTTTAACGGGGCTCCGGATGCAAAAGAGCCTCCTGAAAACACTCTTGTACTGCAATGAAGGTCTAGGCGAGCCACTGTACCAGACCTATCAATGGCACCACATAGAGCTCGCACTGTATGTGTTTTCCAGGATAACGCTATTCTACAGGATGTTTATATCGGTTTATTTACAACTATGATTACCAGACAAGAACATGATATGAAACACGAATCACAAGGGTGACCACGTCATCGTCGCCTAGATTTCGCCTTTGTAAGTAAAAATATTTTTTGGTGTCTCTTCAACGGTCACCTTGTAGAGCATCTTTGGCGTTTTCATCTGTACCCGAAGCTTCTCCCATAGATAAATGGCTACGTTTTCCGATGTGCTCACATTGTGCTGAAAATAGTGTATTTCCAAGGCGAAGTGAAATACTCGATTTATTGGAAGATTTTAGAGAGAAGTTGAATATATAATATACCTAGTAGTATAGTGTGAGTAGTTTCTCTACTTTCGTGTGGCCTGGGCGAGGAGAACAAAAATCGTCAAAAAGTGTATACAATTTGAAGAAGTGAAAAAGGTAAGCAGTCTAGGTGATCCTGTTCAGCTGAACATATTCACTTCTCATGTAAAAACTGGACGCCATTTATGCTTTTTTTGTTATTTCGCTAGTTCCTATGGAAAATTTGAGGCCATTCTGCACTCTTCCGCTCGGCAGACAGAATACATTGGGATGGGGTGTATCCCAAATCACGAAGGCCAAAATGAGGTATTTCCTTTATTCAATCTCTTTTTGGGATGCGGCACGCATTCTACTTCCATTCAGAATCGTAGTGGGTGAATGCGATGTGGCCTATACAATGACTTGCGGAGGCCAGCCGATGTACAAGTCAGCGTTCCTTATCCTTCCAGAACCTTGCACCAATTCATGGTCCCGAGGGTCAAAGGCTTGGTCGGCCTGCCCCGGATCCAGTCAGGGATTTGATACCCGAATCATGCCCGTGGCAAATTTGCCACTTGTCACTACAACATCTCTTCCTGAAAACTCTATAGGTGATTGAATTAACATGTTTCTGAAGGCATATGGCGCGATAGTTTGGCACTCGATCCAAAATGCTAGCGGGTTGCTATTCGGTTGTCCGGAAAGATCTCAGCGATTTGAGTGTTTCATTGTAACGATCACAAGTGTATCCTTAATACTCATCGCATGATAAAATATAGCCACCAGTTTGAACAGCACACTTTCGCCAATGTGACGCGCCTGTAGGGGTCGTATAAGATCTCAATCAAGAAGAACCTGGGTCTCGATGAATCGACGAAGGCTTCTTTTTGCAGCGATGGGATAAGTATTTTGCCAGCAGGGACGTTCTGAAAATGTTCAAAAAGGTAATATTTCAGTTGGCGGAAGGTCCTGGCAAATGATGGCGTTGAAGGTAGAGACTCACCCCACCAAGTCCTCGTTCAATTTAATGATAGTGATTTGTGCGAAACCGTGTGAGGGCCGGGGCCGTCTGTCAGGCACAAGATGATCCTTCTGTTGACAGAGTCTGGCTGCCAAGCTAGACACACTTGACATTTTTGCAGATTTCTTCACATAGGACTCTGCTGTGATGGTTTGGCCTGGTGATAAAAAGTTATAGTGGATCACACCAGCCGATGACCACCAAGCCGTGACCAGAATCTTTTTTCGTGAGGGTTCGGCTTTGAAAATTACCTCGGTGGTTTATATCAACCACTGCCGGCAACGTCCTCCTGTATCATACATGATCCCATTTGTTTTTTCTTTTTTTCAAATCACAGGTACAATTCGGTCAAAACAGGTTGTTTCTGCTCGCAAAAGTAAATGGAAAGGAACCTCTTGAAAGTCGAATTTCTGCCGGTCAAACGTCCGAGGGGTTGTGGGGAAGTTCACGTTGGTCCGTAGGTTGTTTTTTCAATCTCCAAAATACGCTTGTGCCAGACGCAATCCGCAAGCAAGGATTTGCCAACGCCTGAGCCTTTCCTGCATCTCTTCGAGCTGCTCTGGATGGGACGCCTCTACAGCAACGCCCTTCACATCACTCATGCAGGAGTAATTGCTTTAGGTATCTCGACGGACAAGGTTCATCTTCAAGGTGAATCTCCAGGAAGAAATTTGTTGAACCCATTGTCGCACGTGCTTTCTCCAACACTATTGGGCCCCCACACCTGATTAATTTGTCGAGCTGTCTCGACTGCGGATTGACCCAATTTAGTCGAAAAAAACGCGTCCGCAGCTGTTCTTGTGTGAACATGCTTCAAAAAGTCTGGCGAAGGGTTATCAAGCAATGGTGAAAACCAATATTACTATCAAGGCATAGTGCGACCAAGTCTCTTATGATGCTACCTACTGAGACGCAAGGGAGAATGGGTTTTTTAATACCAGCAGCGAATGTACAAAAATAGGTAACACAATAACGCTTGAGAACCTCTCCGCCTGACAAGCATATATATCCGGATAATATATACGCAGTGGGGAAAACGGCGAAAAAATGAAGTGGTTCAAAAAAATCTGGCGAGAAAGAAACCTTCCTTTTTCAACGAACTACAAGGCGATTTTGGACGTGTGTTCCCGTGGGAATCTTGCCACCTAACGTAGAGCGGCTGCAACGCACGTACATCATACATTGCAAAAATCCGCGAACGTGGTTACGCGCGTCAGCTGTGCACTCCTCAACTAAAGCGTGCCGTTGTGCGTCTATGTTGCTGGAATATGTTCTGTTGTTTTGAGACAGTTGTGCGTTATGTGTCAGCACAAAACATAAGAAGTAATTTATCGTCAATCTTGGACTATCCCACCAAGTAAGCACATTCCTATGCATTTCACCTACCGGTGCTCAGGATACCCTGTTGATCACTATCACATGCCAGCACCGCGACCGTTTCATGTAAATTTCTTCAATGTTAATCGTTCGCAAAAATGTACAGTCCGTCTCCATTATTCTGTGGGGGGGGCGCGGTGGCAGCCCGGTCCGGTATGCTGCAGCCTTAAAAGGGCTCTAGGCATGGTTGGAAACTCGCTAAGCAGCGCCTGCTTCAGGTATGGATTTTTTCGCTGCCGCAGAACCAGTAATCTAGCTCGTTTTTGTAGAATTTTATAGTGCCAACTGCCTTTCAAAGGGCCACTGAGTAAGAAGTAATAAACAAAATATTTATTTATTTATTTATTTAATTATTTGAAAATACACCACGAGGTGTGCCATAGCAAGGGAAATCTAATGCGCAACACACCAGTGAAGAATTGAAAAATAGAAAAAATCAAACAAAACAAACAAACAAACAAACACAAACAAACACAAACATAAAGGCCTAAACACAGGGAACAAGAGCGAAGTAATAGGCTGTGAGTCGAAGTTCTAGAGGAATAGGAGCGGGACCATTTTTGTGGACAGACTGATACAGGGTCATTTTCCCTTCACCCGTAGATGAATAGGTCCACCGGAGATCCGTGGTCGTTGTCAGAACGTCAGGAGAGGTGCACAACAGTACTGGGGTGCTGACAACTAACCCATTTACGAACGAATTTTCGGTCCGGGGATATTACTGAAGAACGTACGGCACGGTGCGAAGATAGGGCTCTGAAGTGGGTAAAACCATTTATCATTGAAAAGAGAACCGTAATTTGCGCAGAAATCTCTTGGTTCTGCGTCGGCCCCAAGTGCATCTCTTTCTTCGTTATTGGAGTGACAATCATTAATATTTTCTATGTATGTTATGCCAGTTTTGAATAAGGTGACCTAAATGCTACGTAGGCTATCGGGGTTGCTGCTATAGTTCGAGAATATCATAGTTTAGTTTGAGAACAATGAGTAAACGATGTACCTGGAACCATTCAACATCCTTGTCAAGGTTCTTGTGATCCACAGTATCGAGCACCACTTGCATGTCTTTTTTTAACTGAGCTAAATCATATAACATTCCAGGTGACACTGGATCAGGAAATTTCGCCGCGAAGTTTCACCTAAAGAGCTTGATCGGGCAGAGGTGAGTATTAAATCACTATATGAACAACCGTAGACCTTCCACACGTAGTTATGAACCATAGTCCGTTGGGTGCTTGTTGCATCTTTTCCGTAGTCGCTGTCATTCTCGCTCAGCAACTGAGCTGATACTTGAATGGAAGCCCGATGAGCCAAAGCTAGAACATCTCAACGCGCTCCATTGGTAACCACAACGCAACGGACCACTCTGAAATCTGTGAAAAGTTTACTAAAACTCTCCGGTCTTTGCACCGTGCAATGTTGAACCAGGCAGTTTAACTTTTGAAAGTAGAGATGAGATTAGGCCATAAGAGGCCACTTGAAGGAAAAAGGCATTGGATGAATGAACGGCGGAATTCGGAGTTCACCTTCTCTCACTCATTCCTAGATGGGTAAACTCTCGTGTTTTATGGTAGACCAATATATGAGTGAGCATTGGCGTACTGTCAGCTGTTCGATTATTCCAATGTCAAGAACATACATTCGCGAATTTAGCGTTGGGAGAGCATCGTGTGCTAGCAGGAAAACGCCAGGATCGCACTTGGCGGTTGAGGCAAGGAATACTGGGCATTGGGGGATGTGATAGTCGAGTGGCGTTGCCACCCTCCCATGAAGGGGCTTGAACGGCACATGCTCCTAAGTTTCCGGTCTTCTGTGATAAACTGTCAAGATAGGGGGGAGGGACAACATGACAAAAAAGTACGAACCCTCCCCATCCTCGTACAGAGCGTCGTGAAGCAGAGAAGAAGATTGCACTAATTTACCCTTTACTGCCCCAGTCATCCGAAATCAGGCCAGTTCCTGACCGACTTTTTCTCCCGTGGGCAGATTTTGCTCAAATGTTGTCTCCTGGGGTAGTTTGACCTCCAGAATACGAATATCACATTCGCTCAGCCCAAAACTTCCTGGCGCCCGCGCCACAGGCGCCAATGATTTGGGGTATTTTGGCGCCGGTGCCCGTGGTGCGGGCGCTAGGAGGTTTCGGGTTGAGCGGATGTGATATTCGTGTTCAGGGGGTCAAACTACCCCTGGGAGCAAGTTTTCAGCGAATTTGGTGATTTCGAGTATTTTGGCGCCGGCGCCCGTGGCGCGGGCGCCAGGAGTTAGATAAGCGGCATGCGATATTAGTGTCTCAGCGGGTCTGACTACCGCTGGACCCAAGCTTTTCAAGCAAATTCAGTTTTTCTCCATGAACAATTCTGCCTCATCGGCGAAAAATTCGGTCAGGAACTGGTCTTGATGTTCCGGGGTGGCTTGGGGCAGCTAAAAGGGTCAAATGTCCGGACGCAGAAAAGTCAGCTATTCAACAATTTTCTCAGACCAAATGCGACCCTCCCCCCTATCCTCCCAACGACTACGACCCCCTTGGGGAATCCTCAAACGATCATGTGTGGTGAGAGGGAAGGTCGTAAATGCAGGATCGGTGACAGCGCAAAACGTTGGGCGGTCATCATCAAGTTTGTGGAAGACGGATAAGCAAACTGAGGGAAAAAAAGCGGGAGACTACGAAATCCTACTACTAATCGACTTAAGGGTTTGTCTCTCAATGGGGCAGTGTTTGACCACCACAGCGACATTGATAAGAAGTGTTTGAAAATGAGGTCCTAGAGACTGTTGAAAATGAGGTCACGGACGCGCCATTCGCACCAGCACCTAATCAGCGTGCCATGGCACTTCTCACTGAACACTCTCCGTCTCAGAAGAGATAGAAAGAAGGTGTTTGCAGTATTTTAAAGTCACTGAAGCACATGAGCAATGATGAAGAACTCGTGCAGTCTCAAAAAGGATTTGCCAGAGATAAATGAAAAGGCTAGCCACGCTTGAACAACAGATCGTCCTCATTGCAGTCGCTACCACGATATAGGATAGGAAAAGAGTCCGCGGTGAGTATTTGAGAAAGCATGATCAATAGAAAAGCCCACGAAAGCGGATGAGCAATTTCCACGAAAAAGGTCAGGTGAATTATCAATGAAGTGCAGAGGAGAACCCTCATTAATAAATGGTCTAGGAATTTCTCCAAGGAAGGAAAGGAGATAATAGCATCAAATAGTCTTGAATAATCTCAAATAGTTCCAGATAATAGTCGTAATATACTTATCTATGAAAAGTTCCATAGATAACTGTATTACGTGGGCATGTGCACAAATTCCGTAGTGTATTGGGACTTCAAAATCGAACCAAAAATAGAAGACACTATAAGAGGATGGAGTAAGTATCGGAGCTCGCTGTTTGCTTATCGACTTAAAATTGAGTCAGAAACGCTACAACGGTTTCCGATCATATTTCCACTCAGTTTGTATTCGTATCATACTGATATTATTATTTCTCTTATTACTTATTCAAAGTCATAACACTGGTAAGTTATATATGCCATTAATTAGCTTCCATCGGGCTGTTAAGGAAGTTCCGTCATTTTTTTCCAAACATGAAACGGTTATTCTAAAAGCAAACTCCGCCCGCATTCAATTGATGTTCAGACGCCTTCATTGGGCATGGTAGTTCTGTCTGCAAGTATTGAGGGTGGTACTACTTTCGCAACTCAAAAATCAGTGAGGAAACACTAACTACTCGCGATGAGGCCACAGCAACGCCCACTGACCGCGGAAACGCCCAAATTTCATTTCGTTTGGCTTCCTGGTAGTTGCTTCATTACAAGCCCTCTCCACCTGGAGTGGTGAGGGTGAAATATGTATTTGGAGAAAGAGTTGGCACTAACAGTTGAGTTTTCGTCCGACCACGTCCATTCTTCGACTTGTGCACGTGAAAGCGCAGTTCAGAATGGGGTTCCATACAGGGGGAGGCAAAAAAGTCACTTCGACCGAGTCACATATCAGCAAAGTTTTCGCAGCCCAGACAGAGGACGTGGATACGAGTACCAGGGCGGAAGATACCCAAGATGTTCCTCGATAAGCAGCAGGCTCTCGCCCATCACCTTCATGTACACCAAAATATGAAGTCATCTCCAGTCGCAGCCTGACTGGAGAAGGCCTTTGGAATTCACGTCACCTCCAAACAGCTGCGAAACTTCTTGTATGGAGTCACCCATGGACAGCTACCTGGAGACCAGCACTCTTGATCTGGAAGACCTCCAACATCGAGCAGCTCCGACAACGTCGCTACGGTCCAGGATATCATCTTCACCACGGTCCAGGATATCATCTTCACCGCAGTCGCCAAGGCGCGGGTTGGTGGTATGGACCGGAAGTTCCTGGAATGTGAAGACCGATATTTTCTTCGTGGACCCCGGACTGAAGGTGAGCGCTGACGGTTACATCGACCAACTCGTGGAGAATATCCTGCCTTCATGTCATCGCCTGTACCTTCTTGGAAACTTCGTACTGCTACAGGATTGGGTGCCTCCACGGAATCGAAGGGCGTTGGAAAAACTCTCGCCTACTTGGAATGGAAGGGCGTGAGTACCTGAAGAAGACGGAATATCCAAGTAGGTCACCTGACCTGAACCCCTCAATTACCCGGTTCGGGCGGAGCTCAACAGGGTGGTCTACAGTGGCGGAGAAATCAACGATCTCGCTGAACTCAGGCACCGAATCACGGTCGCGTGGCAGAATCTCTCGATGGCGCTCGTCCAGAAGGCTGTGGCGGAGTATCATGATAGTATACAATATGCTGTTGAATATGGTAGTGGAAATGTCCAATCAAAATTCAATAAAGTGTAACTTATAGCGCCTTGAAAGTCAATGAAGAAAAGTGTCTTTTTTGCCCCTCCCCCTATATGGGGCAGGTCCAATGCATTTTTTTTCTGATTTTTCTGTTACTGTGTGTAAATACTACTACCGCGCTGATGCTGTGGGTATTAAAGTGAAATGCTCAATCAAGAGAGCATTCATCATGCTTGAGGCGTTTTTGAGGGTTTTTGGATACCTCATATAGCTCGACTCTGTACCGACAGAGTTCAATAGAGAACAGGAAAAGGCAATGTGCAATAAGTAGCCTACGTGGCTATCCCATTATCGTGGTTGACTTGATACAGCGGAGGATACCGCATCTTGTTCAGTTTTCGACTAACTATAAGGCAGTGCGCGAAATGGAAACGGAAACATCTGATCAAGCACTTCTTCGAAAAAGGCCCGTCTAAATGATCATGAAAAAATTTGTATCAATAATTGCTAGCAAACAGACGGCTGAATTTGTAATATGACACAGAATAATGTATTTCCTATATTGGTCCATAAGCAAAGACACATGGTTCATATTGGTAATTTGTAAATATCTGAGGTGCTGGGCGTGTCTTACCACTCGAACAGTCCACCGGTTATCCGGCCACTAACTGGTGGAAGGTTCCACTGGGCTGCACTGGGAAAGCGGTCCATCCAACCTTCCACCCCTTGACCAGTCAGTTGACACCATACCTTTCTAAGAGGTTGCCTGGCTTGTACATCTTCGGAAAACAATTGTGCAGGTTATCGCATCAAAATCGTGAAATGTTATTAGGGTCTACACGGCACCCGAAAAGCATGGCGTAACCCGAAAAGGATTGACCAACGCCGAGAGCTTTATCCTTCAACGTCCATATATTTGAGGTGCCGAGGGAGCCTTTGGCTGTCGTTCCCGTTCTCACCATTTCGCTGGAGCCACTCGCCTAATCTTACCGATCTGCATCAATAAAGAGATGCTGCATTTTTGCCAAAAAAACGCTATGCAACAGATCCGGCCCCCATTTAGAGCGCTAGAAAAGATAAATTATCTACAAGTTGGAAATTCGTTCGAAGCTAACAGGGAGAAGTTTCATCAGTTCATTGGGAGCCCCCGACAACTCCAATGGCTCTCAGTAGTTACATAGAAATCAAAGTAAAAGCTGAAGAAAGGAAATTTCAAGAGTGATCGAAAAACAGCTACCATCTTTGCACTTAAAATGAGAACTAAGGGTACGTGCAAAACGGAAAC